GTCCTTGCGTTGAGTCGTTGGAAAGTCTCAAAAAATATCGCGCGAACCGCACAACGGGAGGAGTACCGTTTTCGCACCTCATGGTAATTTTCAAAATCACCTAAAATACAGCGTCCTATCATTGAGCCGTAATAAAGTCACAAAAAATATCGCGCGAACCGCACAACGGGATTACCCTTTTCGCACAACCCAGGAATCTTCAAAATCGCGTAGAGCACAGCATCCTAGCATTGAGTCGTATGAAAGTCACTAAAAATATCGCGCGAACCGCACGGCGAAATTGTCGTTTTCGCACAACCCAGGAAGCTTCAACATCGCGTAATACAAGCGTCCTAGAGTTGAGTCGTTGGAAAGTCACAAAAAATATAGCTCGAACCGCACAACGAAGTATCCGTTTTCGCACCCCAAGGAATATTCAAAATCGCGTAGAACACAGCGTCCCAGAGTTGAGTCGTTCGAAAGTCACAAAAAATATCGCTCGAACCGCACAACGAAGTATCCGTTTTCGCACCCCTAGGAATCTTCAAAATCGCGTAGAACACAGCGTCCTAGCGTTGAGTCGTTCGAAAGTCACAAGAAATATCAGTTTACATTTGCAATTTTTTTTTTATTTTTCAATTATTTTTGAACTGTATCCAAAGCATACAAATCAGGCTCATATATAAAGAAATTTGCTCCTGTTAAGTTACGCAACGAGAACTTTGCTCAAATGTATTTCGACGTATTTATATACTTATATAGCTAATCGTGTTCTATTTTTGGGGAAAATCATCTTGGATGTGTAAAGTCGGCAGCGAGTGCGGTTCGTGATAACCGGCAAAAGTTGACAATAGCCCCCCTCCTATCCTCAAAAACCAAAACAAAGCGTCGCCATTTTTGGGTCATAAAGCCTCACTGAAAAAAAAGTGAAGTCGATTTAACATTCTAGATGTAAAAACAGCGTGCAACATTTTATAAAATGCTGAAATACCCGTTATAAGTGAATAGGTTTTTATCATCTACTTCGATGTTTTGCATCCAATTATTTGCGTTCTTCAATTGCAGAAAATGAGATTCTTCGAAGGCACCTAAAAATTCATTTAACATTTTCAGGACGGTTTGGTAAACATTAAAAATTTGAGGCGATACAGATAAATTGTTTTCGCCCGCTGTTACCGGGAGTTGAGGTTGTGGCGCATCAGTCGACACCTTTTGGATGCGAATTTTGGTAAAGTCATTAGCTTCAGGATCCCAAGGCGACATTCCACACCTCTTGGAACCATTACTGATAGTCTTCGTAGTTAATGCTGTTTCCATCGCTTTAGCTAACAACGGAAGAAACTCAGTTTTACTAATTCGGAATCATTAGTAATAATAATAATAAATCGATATTCCTCTGCAACTCCCAGCCAGAATTTCTTCAAATATCTAAAACATGCAACATCTCAACGGCTGCATCGGGTGCGTTGCATTTGGTGGTAATGCGGTGAGAATCATTTTTTTCTTTTAGCATAGCGTATAAAATGCAATGTTACTTGTGATGAATGCCCATCCACAAAGAGTATTACTGGCCTTGTGATCTTCTGCTCGGTTATCCACGGCTCAAAAACATGTACGATGTACTCATAAAAGGTTTCCGCCGTCATCCAACCATTGTCCGAGTTTCCGATTGCCCATTCTTTGGGAATGGCAGCCGAAACCTTTTCTGGAACCCTCTGATATTGCAACTCTACCATTAGTCTAGACAGTAACGCACTCTTTCTCATCAACTTTGATGACTTTGTAGACACTCTTTGACCGTCTCTTATGCAAGACTTTGTTACCTTTGGGATTATATAAAAGGCCGCCTCATCAGCATTGAATACTCTCTTTGGATCTTTTAAAATTTCGAAGCTATTAAGTGCTCCCCCTTAGCAAGTAGCATTTTTCAAAGTTGAAGTTGCTAGAAGTTGAAACAACATTGGTTAAAAGTCGCAATTAAGTTGCAACTTAGTTGCAACCCTCAGTCAACATTTGGTCGATAAGTGCCGATTTTCGGCGATCTGATCGGAAGAAAAGTGGCAACTTGAAGCAATTGAATTTCATGAATCTTGCAACGTATCGACGTTGCCAAAATCATCATGCAACCTTCTCCTCTTTAGCACTCTGTCAGACACCCTGTCCAGCCTCTTTGGCCGATCGTAATTTTTACGAGACATGAGGTAAAGAGAGACTTATCCTAAACTCATCGTAAAATTCGAGTACCTGATTCTTCAAATTGTGGGTGCCTATTTTATAATCCATGTTTGGTGTGAGGTAAATTTCACATATCATTTTCACTTAGAACCGAAGACGAAGCATGTACATATTTGGGTTATTATTCAATTTTACCGGAACGCGTCTATCTAAATTTTGCAAGATAGGTTCAAGATGGCGGCTGAATATGGAGCGGTCCGTTGTTGTACGAGAAGCGTTCCGATTACCATAAAGTCGTAACGTAAAGACCAGGCACGTGGACGTCCTTACTAGTTTGCGAAGAAGGCCGCGATATTCAAATTTTAGCCTAATGTAAGGACCGGGAACGATAATGAAATTGGAACATGTTTCAATTAAATTGCAACAAGTTCCAACAATGATAGCTCCTTCGGGAGAAAGAGTAGGCAATCTGCACGTCAATCTATTAGTTGCAAGAATTCAATGATTTTGTAAACCTCTGCTTCTTGGGTAGTGTGAATTGTTTATCCTCGGGATCATCAACATCATTGAGAACATCTTTACATGGTATTTGTCACCATCCATTAGAATCTTCTGAACTTCAGCGAACCATTTTTTCAAATACGCTTCCGACACTCTGGTCCCGGACAATGTTAAGTTCTGTGGCTTGCGGGGACTTATCTCCGGGTGCCTCCACACGAAGAAATCGTACCATTTTCTACCTGGTTTATTATTTTCAAACGGATTATCAATATTCATTTCTTGTACCAAACTTGATACGCTCATCTAAACTTGATGCCCTGTTACAGGGAACCCTGCCTCACCACACAGCATAATCCATTTGACAAGCAACTGTTCATTTTTTTCAGTGAGCACACATGTCGGGTCTTTTTTGGATGTTAGGGGCGGATTGATTACCTTTTAGTTTGGCGTAGAAGGTTGATTTAGGAATTTTGAACTCTTTGGCAGCCGCCGAGACCTCTTTGGATTCATTCTGGACTTATTTCTTTTCCTAGACAAGAAACGTCCTTTTAAGCAAGATGAGCTAATATTCTAATATGACTCCTTACTCAAGCTGCAGTATCGTAAGGAATTAAAATAGACGACTAAAATATGTTGAGAGAAAATGGAGTGGACATACCAATTTAACGCCATCTTTTGTTCCCAAAATTGGATACATGGAGAAATATACATGAATGGATGTATTTTTTCGCTCTACTCATTGAGTCTCTCGTCCATAGTTTCAAGCCAAAACTTCTCAATAGTTGCATAGGGCTTAAGCTGAGTTTTCAAAAATGTAAGTTGCTCAGATTTGTTGGCTAATTTTGCAGCTACGAGCTGGTTCTGGAAACATAAAAAACATTGAAGATCAAGAAGTGGAAGAAAAAAAATCACAGAAGCACGAAATGAACAATGAACACAGTAACATTGTTGATTGAATTAGGCGGGAGAAAACTGACGGCTTAAGCTTCCCTCACTTTTCGTAGTTCGCAATGGCGGCACTTGTTGCGCTTCGCAGTTGACTCGCGAGACTTGGCACTAGCACCAGAGGCAGAGGCGTCATCATTTTTGCACGCATTTCAATTCAGACGTCACAATTCCGGAAACTTGTGTTCCCATTTTTAAATAAAACCCGCGACAATTTAACTATATTATGAAACTTCAACGAGATTTGACGGAATTATAATTAGGAAGAGAAAAGATCTGCAAGTCAGCATTTTCCGTTATCGAGGTCTGTGAGGAAGAAACTTCAGCCCTGGGAACTGAACCCTTCACCTTGGCGGACGGAGGTCCCATTTCGGGCGTTAGTCTGGCGGTCTGATCCTTTCGTCGGGTGAACTAAACGTTCAGTTCTCACGCCTGAAGTTTGAGCAACGAAACCCTTCAGTTCACCTACCCGAGGGATTTTTCTCCGTGAGAAAGAGTATAAAGAAGAAGGGTCATTCGCTGGAAATTATTGCATGTGTAGTTCTCTGTAATGTAAATTCTGGAAAGACATTGCCCCTTCAAAGTTTTGACGCAATTCTCTAATTTTAAACGGTAAACGATCTAGTTTTCTGCCACTGGGACATTTCCAGATACTGGCGCATTTACCTTACTGCATTTTTGCTGTTGAGGAGGTACTGAATTTCCTGGGAAGGTACTGAAAAACTACTGATTTTTGGCCAGTCTATTTTGTTTTATGTTATTTTATTTTTTTTATTGTTTTATTACCGCATTAAATTAGTACAAAGAAGACGTTTTCATACAATAAATGTAGTAAGAGGAGATAAAGAGAATGCTACTAAGGGTATATAAAAAGAAAAAAAGTACATAGGCCTCTAAAAGAGATTGGAGGCTAGGCGTTGAAGGGCAGGACTTCCATTGAGCAAAGGAAGATTTAGGATCCTCTTGCGGCCCCGGGAATTGCCGGTTGGCATGCATCGGATAGGGCGATTTCGGCAAGGGTCTTCTTCTCGGCAGTCACAATTGAGGAAAGGTAGTTTCCAATCAGTGACCAGCTCTCTTTAGAGTGGACGATTTAACTTCTGGAAGGACTTAATAGTGTAAGTTTGTTTTAGTAGACACCCTGTATCTAAATAATCGCACATATCTACGATTGAGATGAAGCAAAGCAGTAAAGCTCTCTGGCGGACGGACGGAAAGTGAGGAGACACCTCAACTCCTGCCGGGGGCGTCAGAGGGCGCCAAGGTGTGCGTGGAAGGCGTCGCGGCGCTGCCTGGCGTCGGAAGGAGCGCAGGCGTGCGTGGGGTTGGCGGCACGGGCTCGGGCACGGGGTGTGTCGCCGCCCCGCGCCGCCGAGCCGGAGCTCAGTTGTGGTGCCTGCGTCAGGGCGACATGACAGAGCTTTCAGTGTCGGGAGTATCCTCGAAATCCGAGACCGGCTCGGCGTCGCGATATGGCCAAATCAGACTCAGGTACGCCCCAGCCACCTCCTTCGCCTTTCTCCTGTCTCGAAGCCCCTCGCCGAATCCCTGTAACACCTCCCTGAACCGCCCGCTCCCGGCCGAGCTCCGTCGTCCCCGAAATTTTCGAGTTCCGGCCAGTTCGCTCCCACTCCAAGACGTGCTCTAACCGTCGGTATCCTTGGGTTTCAGTCTGGAAACGAGGTCCCTGAAAAATCGTCGATGTTGTTCGGGATTCGCATTTCCTGAAATAAAGGTCCGGCGTTCCCGGAACTGTCGAGTTCCGGCCAGTTCGCTCCCACTCGAAGACGTGCTCTAACCGTAGGCAGCCTTGGGTTTTAGTCTGGAAACGAGGTCCCTGAAAAATCGTCGATTTTGTTTCCTGAATTTAGTCCAGTCGGGATGCCGCGTTCCTGGAAATCTAAATATCCAACCTGGATCTGCTTGGGATTACAGTCGCTTCATTCTGCGTGCTCCAGCCTGGAGCTGTAACCGTGGGCATCGTCGGGTTTTGGTCTGGAAATGCGATCGCCGGGACTGAGTAGATTTTTTTAGATTAGAACTCCCTAAAACCGTGGGAATGCGGAAATCCTGAAAATAAATAATTTCCGACCCGCAATTGCAACCTATTGAGTTGCGGTCTGGAATCGTGACTCCTGAGTCTGTAACGCTCCAGAGCGGAAATGTTACGGGAACATAAGGATTTCCAGTCGAAATGCTTATTTTTTTTTAGATTTTTTGAGTCACCAGCTTTAATTGAGAACGTCGAGTTTCCACACGGGATCGTAGATAATTGAATATTTCAACTCGGAAATGACGTAATTTATTTCCAACCAGAATCTGCATTTTCCAGAGTCATCTTCACTGATCGACCGGAAATACTCGTAGTGACTACACCAGAATTTTTGGTTTCTCATGTATTCGGCGTTTCTAGATTTCCAGCTGGAAGTGCGAAACCCAAGATCGTCGCGGCACGGCTTGAGAGTTGAACACCCCCTCTCGCCCCCCCCCCCATTTCCGGATTCTCGTCCGGGAGCGGTATTTCTGGAAGTGCCATTTCAGGAATAATTTAAGTCAGCCTGAAATGTCAGTTTCTCTTCAATTCCCAGCCTGTACTAAACCATTCGCGCGCCAACTGCACAACCTCTGTGAAAAAGGAATGATGTAGTGTGGGCTCTGTGTGTAATTGCGTTTGAAATATAGATTCGAAGATCTTTAACCTTTATAATTTGAGAATTTTTCTTATTCAGTTTTTTTTTCACTCCCTCTTCATTAGTGGTGTTAAAATTTGCGTATATTTCAGCAATAATATTATTTATCTCATGAAAAAATTACAAATCGAAGTAAATATAATAATCTGAATTCGAAATCCACCGATAAAAGACCGTGGTATTTACCGTAGAAGTGATCTATTCTCTGACCAAATTATCTCGATTCAAGTAACGATGTGGTTACCTCGGAAAGAACATGTTAATATGCGCCGGTTAATCAATAGTCTCTTGATATGGGTGTGACCCAAAAGTTGGAGGATATATTGTTTTAAAGCGATTGATGATATATTGACAGCTGAAGCTATAAAACACAGTCAATTGAATAGAACAAGTTCGCGTGTACTCTCGTAACATTTTTGGGGCTAATGCTGTTAGTTTATTTTAATGTGGTCTTGAGCACGCAAGTAACCAGATATTCGGAGAATGTTTTCACGGTAATGACAGTGGAAAGGTCGAGAATGTGTCCTAATTTTAGACTGAAAAAAATCATTATGTTACGAAAACGAGTCCCAATTTTGTTTACATGCAACGAGAACCATGACTTCTTTTAACTCATTTGTTATTCGAACCTGATGTGAGATAGACGTTCGGTGGAATTTACTATACACTTGTTCTCATATTCATCAATTAGGAAGTAAATGCAGATTATTTCAGCGCCTGTATATATTAAGTCATGAAAAACATGGATCTTTGGGACGGATTATCATTATATTTATCCGCATAATGTCGTAAATGTGGATTATAGCCACTATAGCACTAAACTTATGAACCAAATCTGAGGTAGCTGTACACGAATAACTGAAAGACTAGCTGAGTAAAGCAACTAATCAAACTTTCATTGTAAATGAACCTCACCTCTTTTCAATTGAGAGCCTGATCAGTGATCATAGGCAAACGAGGTAATCAGCTTTAAATGAGCCTCAAAATCCAATTCTACTGGAATGCGGTTATAGCATATTATCAGCTAACGCCTGTATTCGAATCTCCCGTACATAGGTAGTTCATAGAATCACACTTAAACTTCAGTATGTATCAAAAAAGTTAGGGATGGAGTGACCGATAATGAAAACTACATTAAAGACTCATTCATACTATTTTTAATTTCTACCTCTCATATTTTCATTGAAAACAATCCAGTCTTTTCAATAGTGACCAAAATTTGTACTAGGTATTGCGACTCAGTGCATACTAAAAATGACTGTACGCAGTGTATTTCCTTGACAAAATAATTACACTAAAATATATTGGTAACATCTTAGGCTCTCGCGAGATATTTATTCAATGACATTTGAAGTGATGACCGTTACTAAAGAAATGCCCAAAATCATCCATTACGATTGGAACCTTCTGTCCAAATTAACGATAAACGTTCCCTCGTCTTTTTTTTAGAGATGGCGAAAGTGCAATACGACGTATGTATCTCCGTTGCAGTGTTTCATATCTTCCGCTCATATTTTATTTATTTATTTTTGTGGAGCAACGAGCCCAAATAGCCTAAAATTTTTACCCAATATTTTACGAACAGAAGAGAAAAAGTCAAGGCGGTTCTCTAGAAATAATGTTGAATACTTTTCCGAAGAAAAAATGAAGTATAATGGGAAGTCTGCAACGTCCCGAAGGAAAATATGTGTTTTCGCACTTGGGCAATCATATCTGGACCAAGGATTACTTTAAATCATACTTCTACGCAATTTATTTTTTCTTCTATCAAACATAAACGTGCTACACACAGGGTGTCAAGCATCAGGATTTTCCCGATTCTATGAGGATTTGAGGTCCATCAGGATTTAATCCTGATTTCATCAGGATTTGAGGAAAAATTGGTAGTAAAATCAGGATTGGAGAAAAGTTAGCTGTCCGATCGGATTTTTTGTGATTTCGCATACGCTTACGCAGAAATTTTAATTTTTCTCTGTCAAAACTCAGGATTTGATCAGGATTTTGAAAAATTATGAAATCAAGATTTAGCGGTTAAAAATCAGGATTTCCGTGAATGAAAAAAACAAACTAAGACACCCTGTACACAGTTCATTAAAAGATTGGCCGAACTATGCCGAGATCCAAGTGTTTTCACAGCTTGATACGGTATTGTTACCCTTTGATTCTGATCACGTCATGGTAAAGAAGCAGGATCGTCCAAACGAATAATTCTAAACAGTTGATATATTCTCCATAAGTTTGGATTTCGGCATTTTCGTGGAGCCTCGAGTGTGAATTCGTGATGAAGTTGTAATGCTCTTTGTTTATACAAGTAAAGACTCTCGTCGAGCATCGAGGTTGTAGCAGCTGTGGCGGGCCATGCCTTGACTGATAAAACAGTTCTCGAATGTTTTATTTCCCTATCTGGAGAATCAATATCCTCTTCCCACCTGTTTGTTTCTTTATCGTCTTATTTTTACCTCAAGAAACTCTGTCTTGAGTTTCTCCGAACTGCGGCTCAGTCGCTCTCTCTCCCTGTTTTCCTCCTTTAATTTTCGTTGGTTTTACTAACCATTGGTTTTTTTTTTGGAATCTATGAATATCTACCTACATCCTGCCCAATTTTTGATCCGAACCATCTGCTAATAACGATTTTCAGTGCAATTGGTGCGACTTCTGACCACGTTTTTCGTCGTTGCTCTCACTTGTGATTCAAGGCATACACGGGCAGAACCAGGCTCTACGTTTGTATAAAACTTGCCGCCTTGTGTGTGAAGTGTTTCTTGACTCTATAAGTTTCCGTCGAATCTCCGCTGCTTTTCAATTTTTTCAACCGGTCTTACATCGTGCAGTGCCGACAGTTGTTATCTCTCACGTGTGTTCAATCAGTGCGCGCTGAAATTTAACTAACCTCTCTGGAAGTGAGTTTTACCTCGAATACTATAAGTGTTGTCCGATGGATGTCCACACCAGGTTTTAGGTGTTAGTTGTAGTTTTCATGGATAAGCAACTATGTACTTGTATTTTGTGTCTCCCTGTATGTGCACCAATGTTTTATCGTTGTAAACGTTTGGTATCCTCTTCCTTGTTTTTTTGTTGTTTTTTTAAATATTTTGGCGAGAGTTGAGGGAGTCTTGCTTCATCGGGGAAACGTATCTAAAGCTCATAGCTAATGTGCAAAGCTGGATGGAGATTCAAAAGTCTCTATAGGAGTCCCGTTTTCCCTTTTATTTTCAAGTCCACCTTGGAAAGTTTCGTTGGTATTTTCTATGTACTTTTCATCACTTCGCGAGCACTTTTCTGTTTTATATTCAAAGAATATATTCCGGAGTATAGTAGAGAACAAGAGTGTATAAAAATATCTTGAGGACTATTAGAGGATACAAGTACATGAATTGCATTTTCAGGTAGAAAGAAGCTTTCACCAGAGACACATGTTTTACAGGGTACATTTTCCACCCGATTCCAAATTTACATTATTTTTTCGTCCTTAGATACAGCCCTATGTGTGCCCTGTCTCTCTTTAAAACTTCCTGAAAAGCAGTCAAACTTCCACCATTACTTTCTCTGATTAATAGAATAATTACTAGAATGACACGTTATCCTGCAGAACCTCCACCTAGTTCCCTCGAAAAAAGAATTGTTTGCATTTCGATGTTTTTGCATCCAACTTACTATCGTATTTTCAGTGCACACGTAAGTGTCAATTGAAATTTAAGACCCACATAATTAGTAAGAATTAAAATGACCATTAAAACTTTGTACATACGGTAAACTCCTTTTTTGTCACGTATGAGCCAAATGCATGCGCTCATACTTCCTTCATGTCAGAATATATGTATTTTATATGTAAATATCAATTACATGTCGTGCACCGTTTTTTCAAGGTAACACACTACATCGTGCATGATTGGAAATTGAGATGAAAAACGCGACCGTACATCAGATGTACGCCCCCGTCTTAGAAATGGACTGCATTTTGCAATTTAGAGCTATTAATTCTGGTTCATCTGAATAAACACTTATGTGCATGGGGAAGCTAATGGAATGCATGTTGTTCCTAAACCGGACCAGAATTCATAGTTCCTAATTTCAAAATGGAGTCCAAATTATATTCACCTAATGTCAATGAAATTAACCAATGGTTACATTCATTCATTGAATCATAGGAACTATCATTCCTTGCTCTTACTATGTTTTGAATCTTGTATAGCATGTAAAAATACAAAAATGTGAAAATGTTAAATACAAAGCTCTCCAGCGGGAACTCTTCAAAATAGTTTATTTTTCTGCAGTACAATATTCCAGTCGGCAATATTTATGAGAATTTATATTTTTCATTCCAATAACTGCTCCTGGACTTCTATGTCCTAGGGACGAAAGCTTGAACAAACTATTAAAATCGATAGAGGAAAATGAACAGACTGAGGAAATAACTGACACATGCTAAAAATACCAATGGAGGTGCGTGATCAGTATGCGTGACACAGTGTAGGGGGGCAAGAAGTCAGCCAAAATTTCCTGAAATTATCCACGGACTCGCTAGATTGTTTTTCAGTGTCCACCTTAAAAGCAAACATAAAAAACTCCACCTGACAAGTGGAATTGTTTTAAGAACACAGGAATCAGTTTTCACGACTGGAAGTTCAAATAATTGAACGATTCGGTGGCGTGCTCGATCACTTTGTGCTAGTGTTCTGCGAGCTTGAACTTTGAGGGTTTTCAGCCTCGCCTGAGCGTGTTTTTATTGGTCCCCCCTTTCCTTTTGAGCATATCGCACAAACATCAATTTCCATGGTCGAGTCTCGAAACTTGCAAGAACTGCAATAACGAAGCTGGGGAAGTATATGCTTCTTTTCTTCGCCTTAATTACGAGGAGAAGCTGCACAATTATAAGAGCTTCGATCCTGCTCGGTGTCTAATTAAGATGCCTTTGTGACTTTGGTCCGGGGTCGGGGCTGCCTCACCATCAGTGGCGTGGCGTGCTTTGCGATATATCGATCGATACGCCACTTAAACCTATGATAAAATATCGATTATTAGGGTGTTCGCAGCGAACACCTTAGTAATCGATTCTTTACCGTAGCTTCAAATGGCGATATATCGATAATCGATCATTCACGCCACGCCACTGCTCACCATTTTCCAGAATTGGCCTGTTTCCTTCGTTTGACGGGATGCAGACGAACCCTTTCCTAAGCCGGCAACTCCGATGAGTCCTCCATCGGGACAGACGCTCGGGTCCCTTTGATGTGTAAAACTATTCTTCGCGAAACGGGGATTGAAATCGATCAGCACAGGAGTCAAGTGGCGCCAGTGACCTTAATTGACTAGGTCCTCGGAGTAAATGATGTCTTGCTAAGGCAGAATGCCGAATGAATCTGCGAAATTCTCAGCGAGTTTCGTGATTACTTTTTCCTCGACTTTTTAAGAGGTTTTCTTCTCAATGCTTCAGTTGCGCTAGTCACAGAATCGTGTTTGAGGTGTTAAGAGGGTTTACTCAAAAGTAAGTTTTCATATTTTTTTCCGAAAGAATCTTAGATAAAGCAAATCTCTGACAAGGTTTTTGTGAGTCACACTTTCAGCTTTCCAATGAGGTAGAGTTTTTTAAATTTGGTCAGTGACCTTAATTGCGACTAGGTCCTTGGAGTAAATGATGTCTTGCTAAGGCAGAATGCCGAATGAATCTGCAAAATTCTCAGCAAGTTTCGTGACTACTCTTTCCTCGACTTTTTAAGAGGTTTTCTTCTCAATGCTTCAGTTGCGCTAGTCACAGAATTGTGTTTGAGGTGTTAAGAGGGTTTACTCAAAAGTAAGTTTTCATATTTTTTTCCGAAAGAATCTTAGATGAAGCAAATCTCTGACAAGGTTTTTGTGAGTCATACTTTCAGCTTTTCAATGAGCCAGAGTTTTTTTAAATTTGGTCCACGGGTTCCCGAGATATTTAATTTTTTCCAAGCCCGCATCTTCTTTCCGCGGGTCCAATTAATTATATCCATTCTTGAATATGCGCGTGGAAGGTAAGTGCTCGTTGCTCTCCTTATTAGCCTTGGTGGATCCAGCAAATTGGCAACAATGTCGAAATTGATCGACGAAGCTATAGACAAAGAAGAAATAAAGCGATCTTATTTGTTAAAACGGGTGGCGGTTCTAAACTGAGGGAGAATATGATGGACCAATACTGTATAGTATATCACTTGTCTCCATTGCATCCACCCAAAAGATCGCTCTGTTTACCGTTTGTCAGCTTTGTCTATTGCTTCATCCAACAGTTTCAATGATCAACCCGCTGAATGAATGCCATACATACACAGTAAATTTTCATAAATAGCGACACTCACAAATATTCGCTTTGTGAACACTTTAAAACAAGGAAATTGTAGTAATAGGCTTTCTATCTCGATGTTCCGTACCCGTCAGACGGAGGGTTTCAATCACTATTTATCCATCGGAGCAATTAAAAATAAGCCAACTCCAGTGGGGAGTGCTACATCCCTCTCCAGGTTGATTATGTTAAGTCAGCGGTTGTTACGATGTCAAGATCTTTTGTTAGCAGTGCAACTGCGCGCCCTGATTTTCTCTGCATGTCACCTTACCGTGTCTCATTAACGTGGAGGGGCTCAACGGAGCGGACCGGTATCTACGGTTCAGTGGCGAGGCGTGAATGATCGATTATCGACATGTCCCCATTTGAAGCCATGGTTAAGAATCGATTATTAAGGTGTCGAACTTAAGTTCGTTGCGAACATCCTATTAATCGATTCTTTTCCATAGGTTTAAATGCCAGACCAATTGATATATCGCAAAGCACGCCACGTCACTGTTACGGTTTAATATGCACGAGCCAAAAGCTCATAGTCGAGTGAATTTACAACGCTACGTCGTCGTCTGTTGGGATACATCAAACGGGCTCGATGTGCCGGATCGAAGAAGAATCCACTTCGGAAGGAAGCAAACATCGAGATATTAAATCAACTTTCCTCAACTGATTTTATCCAAGATTTTTAGAAAGAAATGTTTATTAGAGGCACAGTTCAGCTAATGCTTCATATCCCGAAGAATCAATCTCGGTAACTTGAAAATATAACTAGGTAAAAGTTCAAATTGTTGTAGAACCTTTTTCTTACCGATTTTCCAAATTGTTGAAGCTGTCCAAATCGGTAAGAAAAAGGTTCTACAACAATTTGATAAGTATGACCAATAACGTTAATAAAAGAAGTGATATAACTAAAAGTATCCGATAGTGGAATATTGCATTCGATCGACTTGCATCGATTCGGAAAAAAGGAAGAAAAAGAGGTAGTGTTATTAAGGAGGAGGATGAGTAAGATGAAGACAAGAGGTCGTATTCAGAGACGTACCCTTAACAGCCCCTTTACGTATCGTTAAGAGGCTGTATGTTGTTTAAACTGTGAAAATGGGAGGTTTCAGGAAGCTCCCAAAATAGCACGATGTAAAGGAAGATGTTTGCCAACCGCTAGTAAGAGCCAGCAATTCGATTAAGAAATGGGTCCTTTGTAGGGATTGCAGTGATTCATCACCGCAAAAAATTCAAAATGCGAAAGAAACACTGAAAGATTTTTTTTTTTTGTTTTTTTTTTTTGGAGATATTATTTTGACTTCAAAAGTCGTTTCTTGTCGACAAAATTTGGTTTGTTTTACAGTTGAAGCCGTGCAGATTCACTTTAAAGTCCGTTTTTTTAAAGTTTAAGATACGTTGTTTTGCTTTCGTTTTCAAACTCGATCTTAACGATAGCAAAACGAAGCTTTTTCAACTCAAAAAAACTGACTTTAAGCTGAAATCTCTAGTCAAGAGAACTCCTTTAAGTTAAAATTGATTGAACTCAAAAAAACCAAATTTTGTCGTCAAGATACGAGACTTTAAGTCAAAATAATACCTCTAGAATTTATTTTTTCCCGT